TCGTTATGATAAAATTAAACCCGAATATGAAAATTCGGTCCTTCGAAATACATTTACGGAAATGAGAATATTGGTTTGTAAGTCCCCAAAGTAAAAGGTTTCCCTTTGTACTCGATATCCTTGTTGTTTGATATTTATCCTTAATCTAATTCTACGCGAACATTTAGCATTTATTTTGATGGTTCAACAGTTAAAAACGTAAGAGCGTGGTATAATAATTATATAACGAACATGTTTGAGGACGAAGGGTAAAAACCAATACAGGAAGGGCGTGACGTTAGACTGAAAGAGCGCTGCATCAGACTGACACGTGGGAAAATCATTAAAAACTTCCTCTCCAATGTTCCTCTGCTTGACACTGAAATATTCTACTGAAATGGCTACAGAACAAATATCATTGCATCCTGAAATTTCGAGAAACCAATTAACAACTAGTTTCTACTTTCACAAATGACGAACCAACGAAATTGTATGAGTGACTATGTATTCATCGAATACTTGCGACCATCAGGGAGTAACGCAATTCAATCAAGATTGCAAGTAAGCAAACACTTAAACCGTGCATCGACTGTTTTTGAGTCTGGCACGGCGTGAGAGCATCTTCAAAGCCATGGCCCACAAGACAGAAAGACCTGCCAATTTGATAGAGTTCCTTCATACCTATCTTCAGATGTTGTCGGGAAGGGAAGAACCTGACCAGAAGAAGTTTAACCCGAGTTCCATCTTCTGTCATTGATCTGCCCAGAACAAAGGAGCACGGACGTGAGGTTCTTCTTCTGTGGCTGATTTCTTCTAATCAGTTTCTATTTGCTAAGGCTGTTGTATCAGCTCCTAGGACGATGGGTGATCATTCGTGAGGATGCTTAGGCAGGACATTTTCCTACTCCAGAGGAGACCCTTCCCCAATCTGATGATTCTTAATATGATCATGTGTCGCCCTAGGGGATGTTTATGTCACAGAAGTTTTTATCGGAAATTAGATTCAAATTCGTCATGAAATTGGAATACTTCAGGTGTTAAAATTGAAATAATTGATTTTTGTGCTTCTGGAGATTAGTCTTAACCTTCAGTGAAGAATATTTTTATTGTGATTGATCGAAGAGCATAGTTTCGTCATGCAGACGTCTTTATCAGTTGTTAACAGTGGACAACATCCAGACCTTTAGGGGGTTTGTTGTTGTTTAACGCCGCTGTCACTATTGTTTAATCTTTATGACGGCCGCCCGAAATGATCGAGTCAAAAGACAACCCAGTAACTAATGTCATGAACATCGATCTACACGATATCCCAATCGTTCTTTCGTTAGTTGGTTACGCATGGGTTGTAGTTCTGATCCGGATCTTCACCTGGTCTGAATTTTAGTAAATTGGCAAGCTAAACCACTCAATGCTAAACCACTCAATGCTAAACCACTCAATGCTCTAGCTACTGCGACTTGTTTTGCGACTTGTTTTGTGTTGAATGTGATATGTCCTCAGTATTGCATATTTCAAGTTAGGATACTATATATATATAGTGGATTTCTATGTCGCCTGGTATCCAACTTGAAGCTGTTCAACGGCGCTTCAGAAAGTCTAGGAGGGATTACCCCGGATAACCCAACCTGCCTGTCAGACGCTAGAAGATAATAGTCACATGACATATCCCACCGGGTACCCAATTTCTGTTGGATGGACAGAGACAATTTTGAACAAACTCACTTGCCTAAGGTGAAGCCACATGTATCACATGTGCTTCGTTGTGGAGCAGGACTGCAGTCCGAGAAATTCTCAGGTGTGAAATACGATCACCCATCCAAAGACTCACCAACGTTGCTTAACTTCAGCTGATTTGTGACCTGAGCTCTATGCACAGGACCACACACCACAACACTGTTCCTAGTGTGCTACCTATTGGACATAAATAACCCATGATGTTGACCAACTAGTTAAGGAAGGGTGAGGTGAGGTGAAATGGGTTTAACGTCGTACTTAAGAATGTTTCGCTCATATGATGACGTGCATGCTAGTGTGTGTGTGGCTGCTTGTACCAAGTTGGTTTTCTATTATATAATGCTAGCCCACTGAGATACCATGCCGCAGTTAAGCATGCATACCCCACTCAGACACATTATACTGACCCCGAGCCGACCAGTCCTTGTTGTACCCATTAACGCCGGGCGCCAGGCAGGGACCAACAAGTACAATATTTTAACATGTTTTGGTATGACGCGGCCTGGAATCGAACCCGCGACCTTCCGCTCTCCGGGCGTACGATCTAACTATTACACCACGGAGGCGGCTAGTTGAAAGACTGCTATTCGAAACGACATGCAATGACTGATTGCTATCATTGTAATTAGCATTCTGGCGATTTCTCCAATGATATGTAATTAGTAAACACATACAAAACAGTACACATACAAAACAGAACTGATTGTAGATATTTCCCCTTCACTATTCTTGTAATTACAATGGCATGAAACTCGGTAGGCTACGTATTGGACTGTTTAAAATCAGCTCCTGTCTCGAGTGCCTATTATGATAACAACGTGCTTGCAATAGGACAGATCGGAAGCCTATAAATTGCTCAAATCCACAGTCCCCATCTTTCTAATTACGTTTAGCACTTAGAGGGGAATTGCCTCAGTTAACGGCCTGTGTGAAAACCCTAACGTCACTAAAGACATATTTAGGGCAGCGTTGTTAGGAATAAGTCTGAATTTTCTCCTCATACACAATTCCGTGCAGTTAAAACGAAATTGTTTCGGTCCCCATTGAGTATTAACCTCGATGCTGGAGCAGTTTTGTTTCGAGCACTCGCGGTAATGAAAGGGGAAACGCGCCTGTTTCCTTAGATACACATTATTTCCCCTTCCTCTTACCTGAAACATAAGAGCTTACACTTACTTAGAAATACACACTGAATAGAAATGCAAACCCATCTATCCATTGGTTCCTATCCCACCTTCAATCAATACGTCCTCGCCTTATGCAATCTGTGTGTATTTCGTAATTATAAAATTAAAATAAATAGTATATGGTTTCCCTGTGCACTTATTGAGTTGTAAGATGCACATTTATCTTGGTTTATACATGATCCAACACAAAAGCAGCTATCATTATTCATCTACTGGTTTTTGCCATCTATGAAATAGTTATTTATCAGATTAAGACACGTGAATGTTATGTCAAACCATGATCAATGAATTTACAAATGTACATTTAACAGATATGCTATCTTACTTTCTTCTTGTCAGCTGACGGGGTTTGTTCATTTCGTAAAACGCCTCTACATTTGTCTGTTGCATTTTCAACTGATTAGAAACACGTTTCTGTGTGAGTGTATACGTACGGCGCACCAAGTCATCCGTCGACAGTCCATTCCTTAAAATCTCCTTAACATAATCAATACACTTTAGCCAACGTCATGAGTCAAAAACGTTTTCCAATGAAATACCAATCTATGATCCTATCAGAACCCAGGCCAATGCGTGGAACACACATACGCTGAACGCAAACACCATTGTCAGAATTCTTCAATGCTTAAAGGTTATGTCTTTGGAAATTTACCAGGAATGACTTGCAAATTAGCAACAAATCACTGTGCTTTCAGCTGCACTTGTAATCATTTTGTGTTTTATCACTGGAATACTGGCGTTTAGTTGCATCGGATTGGATCGCTGTATGGAAATAGCCTCGTCTCTTGAAGAACTATTTGAGGCTATTCGTCACGTCCTCAAAATGCTGAGCGAGCAGAGATAATGTTTCTTAATAAATGGTTTGGACGAGAGCGTCCACAGCAAATACATGGGAGTCATAATCTCTACCTCTCAGTGTGCTCAATCGATTCAGTGAAGAGATCAACAGGAAATTGTTTATAAATCTATTGAGCTTCATCATTCTTAACGTTTTTCAACATTCGCCTTTACACACGAATCATGTCAGAAAATTGCCCCCCAAACCAGATGATTTAGTCTGACAGTAATATATTCCATGTAGGCCAAAGGCCGAAAAACAAAATAATAACAGAAATAAATTAAGTACATGTTTGAAGCGTTGACAGATTGTTACTTTACCTCAGTCCTCTTTAACTAACCCACGACCCTCGATGATTAAACATTAACTCATAAGGTAACTGATGGACGTGTACAATGATGATAATCGCATGAGTATGCCATATGCATATAGATTATTCATGAACGACTTTAGGACGCGCACCTTGTAAGAAACTGATAAAATGTAACACACTTGGAACCATACATACCTAAACAGATAGATAACTTCGTCTTAAAGTATTTCAATAATGATACCCGTCACTGTAACCATCTTACAATTAATCAATACTGAAAGGACAAATACGATTTTCCAATATTTGACACAAACATACCATAATTGTGCTACACATTTCTCTTAATCACGACTTTTCTTCTGTTAGTAAAGAAATGTTATTGCACCATTACTCTACCGGCTCTGGTAATCATTTTGCAACCTCCTGACAGAAGACAGGTTATCTGGAACAGATTAACTGTCCTTATGGGTCGGAAGACAAATCTTTTCTGCATTATAAAGGGTTTTGCATAGGTAAACGTATTGGAAGTAGGTCAACCTCCAGTTGCATCCTCCTCTGATTCCTTCCCCTTCCCCGACTATAGATCTCGGTATCGGATGCTAATACCATACACTGGTGGTGCTATGTATCATACATTGCCGACCGTTGTAACGTAGATCACCTTGATTACATTTCACATTTTATTAATGCCCAATCAACATTTATGTCAGTTTCTATTTATTCTGAAATAAACTGGCGTCGCAGAAACTGAAGAAATTATCTGTGTTTGCAGAAGCAAAAATGAATATTAGGAGAGGAAACATTAATTCTTAAAGTTTTATGAACTCCTAGGTATTATGATCGTTATTGAAAATTATGATCGTGAAAAGAAAGAAAGCTTTCATAAATGTAATATTATGTTGAGTGTGATCTCTACGTCAGGTTTATGTATATGTTTGTACATTTTCAGCTCGCCACAATGAGCAGGCTGATGGCAATATGCCAACCCGCTCCACCAGGGACAAGAGAGCCGCCTCCAGGCTCAACTTGGGCGGTGACAAGGGAATTGGAGCTCACAGATCGGTGAGTATACGGACAATAAACATTCCCCTTTAGATAATAAAACTGACTGAAGATGATAGATATACAGTGGGCTAGAGAGTTAGTTGTGATGTGTGTGTTAGTGTTTGATTTTAGTGTGTGTGAGTCTGTGTTTGTTTGTGTAAAATCAATGTATTCTTAATTAGTGTGTTATTAGTGTGAATCTAATAAGGATGTTTATAATTAGTGTGTTGAATATGTGTGTGTTAAGATTAGTTTGCGATCGTTGTGTGTTTAAAAGGGGTTCGGGTTGTTTATGTGTATATATTTAGTGCCTAGTGTCTATAATAAGTGTTTGTTAAGTGGTTTATATTTAGTGTCTAGTATCTATAATAAGTGTTTGTTAAGTGTGTTTATATTTAGTGCCCATGTCTATAATAAGTGTTTGTTAAGTGTGTTTATATTTAGTATCTAGTATCTATAATAAGTGTTTGTTAAGTGTGTTTATATTAAGTATCTAGTATCTATAATAAGTGTTTGTTAAGTGTGTTTATATTTAGTGCCTAGTGCCTATAATAAGTGTTTGTTAAGTGTGTTTATATTTAGTGCCCAGTGTCTATAATAAATGTTTGTTAAGTGTGTTTATATTTAGTATCTAGTATCTATAATAAGTGTTTGTTAAGTGTGTTTATATTTAGTATCTAGTATCTATAATAAGTGTTTGTTAAGTGTGTTTTTATTTAGTGCCTATAATAAGTATTTGTTAAATGTGTTTATGCTTGGTGCCCAGTGTCTATAAAACGTGTTTGTTAAGTGTGTTTATAATGAGCGCCCAGTGTCTATAATAAGTGTTTGTTAAGTGTGTTTATATTTAGTGCCCATAGTCTATAAGCAGTGTTTGTTGAATGTGTTTATATTTAGTGCCCAGTGTCTATAATAAGTGTTTGTTAAGTGTGTTTATATTTAGTGCCTAGCGTCTGTAATAAGTGTTTGTTGAATGTGTTTATATTTAGTGTCTAGTGTCTATAAAACGTGTTTGTTAAGTGTGTTTATATTGAGTGCCCAGTGTCTATAATGAGTGTTTGTTAAGTGTGTTTATATTTAGTGCCCATAGTCTATAAGCAGTGTTTGTTGAATGTGTTTATATTTAGTGCCCAGTGTCTATAATAAGTGTTTGTTAAGTGTGTTTATATTTAGTGCCTAGCGTCTGTAATAAGTGTTTGTTGAATGTGTTTATATTTAGTGTCTAGTGTGTCTATAAGCAGTGTTTGTTAAGTGTGTTTATTATTATTGAGCGTTATGAGTGGATCTAGTGTGCATGTCTGTTAGTGTGTGGATTATGGCTGTGGTATATGATGTATAAGACTTCGACGAGGAAGCACCTAATACATTTATTCACCCAGTAGCATGTTTATTTATTTACCGAATTAACTGTTATCGTTTCGTTTCGTCCTGTTACGTCTGAGAAACGGTGGCATACAGACACTCACCAGTGGGGTGCTTGCAAAGTAGGCCATAACGTTATGACTTACATGTATATGGTTACTTGATGCTGCTGAATTATTTCCTCCCCCGTGTGGTCAGCATCGTCCACACATTGGTTGACTGTACTTGTACTAATGGACCCATTCACTCCACTGAAGTCGTTAAGTAACAATGGTTTTTGTTCTTGTGATTCCATATCACATTTCCTACAAATGGGATTGTTTACAATGTGCACCAAATAATGTTTTGCCAAATATAATAAATGCATTATAGAGGAGACATGTGGTCTTAATTAGTCCAAATTAAAAGCTGTCAAGCATGCGATCTTTCAAGCATTGAATTCCATTTGTATCGACAGTATCGAAAAGTGCAACAAGTTAGTCTAACATCAATGTTAAGTCGCTTTTAACGTAGGGTTAACCAGCAAAGAGATATTTCCTTCTCGTTTCAATTCTATAATTGCAAAACAAACACAACGACGTAATTGACGCGGCGCTAGTTCAAGCCTTTGGAAACAGTACACTCACTGAACGTCATTGAAAGCTCAAAGGCCTAACTCATTCCCCAATGGTGTTCATAACCTTATTGTGATCAGAGCCGACCTGGAGGAGTCACTTCCGATATCGTATCAGCACAGGAGACGTTTGGAGGCTTTTATTTCGGAATTAATGGTTAGTACCAGACCCCGACAGTGTATACCGATAGGACTATGCCTCAGCGGCATCAATGTAAGATGAGTTTTAAATTAGAGTATTTCATGGTGAAGAATCAAAGTCGGCTGTAACGGCGGTACTCATCCTTCCTTTGAAACGAAACTCCGGGTCTAGAAAAGTATTCTTTTATGACGTATCCACTTACCATTACATTATTTTCAAAGACTGTACGATTTTATAATGTGGATAGATGCTATGAATCTGAAATGAAAGATGTTGTGAAACTTTCTTTTGGTTAAAAAGAAAAATATATTGCGTAATTTCACTCTATGTACTGACGATGATGATGACGACCATTTGGCCCGTCCTTGGATCGCGAGGTACAAGTTACGATGGAATTGAGATGAAAAAGAAACGTACATATAATTACCCATGATAATACACACTGAATGCCGAGAAGGGTAATATAGGTCTGTGGGTAATTCAGGTATTCAGCTGGCTGGCTGGTTTCCCGTGTCACCGCACACAACATGAAGTTGTTGCTTTCTCTGTATATGACTGGTTTATATACTTGTCTGTATAATGGAACTATTCCCAGACACGGAAAGATCCGAGTTAGAATTGATCTTCAGAAACCCATGCTAGTCGTAAGAGACGGGATCGGGTGGTGAGTCTCGCTGATTTGGTTGACATATGTCATCGTATTCAAACTGCGCTGATAGCCAGATAGTCCAGACTCGATTATTTACAAAATATACAAACACCCACAAAGTAAGAAAACAGTCGAATCTTCGCACAATTCACACCCAGGGAAGAAAGATCGTTTTAATATTGATAATAACCGCGTGACTTTTCATAACTCAGTTTCACTACTCACGTTGTTTATCAGAAGTAGCACAAATGACCTACTCTAAACACCAGACAGCGAGAGTCTCCAAGGATGGTGTGCTGCGAATCCCGAAGTTGTAACAAACAGCGAAACAAACAAAGCTACTATGAATAGTCGGGTCTCGACTCCAGGTTGGCAGGTCTTGCCAAATTTGAATAATTAGGATAGATGCGAATATCTGGCTCCATTACTTTTCAGCTGAAGTTGCGCCACCATATCTACTTGATAAGTCACTTGAGTCTATCTCAGTGATTAGATACTGCCCCATGTGTCGCCAGTTATTGGGTAAGTCTTATCGGTTCATCTGAGCTCAGTATTGTCCACTGGCAGAATCAGACGCTGCAGTGAATTTCAGGTCAACACAAATTAGCCACTTTCAGGCGTGATATTTCATTTATCCCCACGTCGACCAGCCAGCTGATTGGCATATGTAATCAAGGCTGTTGACAATGCAATTGATGATCCCATGCCAGGGATATGTCCAATTTTCGCTATCAGATGGCTAGTGTTCGTGTGATCTCGTGTCATGCAACAGACGGACGGCTGGCAGATGTCAGGCCAGTCTATTGAACGACAAGAGTGTAATAAATATCAAGTCGTAATGAAAAACTGACTTATATAGTATACGTGGCATATGGACCCGCGTTCCCTGGCACACCGAGGCTGGAACCACAGGAGGTCACAGGTGTTTTGGGGACGGTTGTGCTATGCAACAAACTCCTGCTGGAAATAGTGTTACCCTTAATCATAGTGTTAATGACATGAATTTAACATCGGAGAAAAACGTACTTATATTAAACAAACGAAAGGACATGGAGTGAATAACCTTAAAATAATAATAAACTTGCAACACACACACGCCTGCGCGCGCACGCACGCACGCGCGCGCGCACTGCCAAAGCCAAAGCCATCAAGATCCGGGTTAGAATTTGTCTTCAGGAACCAATGCTTGTCGTAAGATGCGACTAACGGGATTGGATGGTCAGGCTCGCTGACTTGGTTGACACATGTCATCGTATCCCAGTTGCGTAGATCGATGCTCATGATGCTGATCACTGGATTGTCTGGTCCAGATTCGATTATTTACAGACCGACGCCATATAGCGGTAATATTGCTGAGTGCGATGTAAAACTGAACTCACTCACTCAACCAATCAACCAACCAAAGCCAAAGCCATTGACCACTTACAGCTCTTCACCCACAATAAGCTGGGACGTATATACGTTAAACACAACGTGCTTGACCGCGCCGGTGAGCCTCGATCCATGCCTTTGAGTGAAACCCGGCCTCCAATCATCCGTAATGGTGGCCACCTGATCCCAGTTTCAGTGGTCTTTATCCACTCAAATGTATAAAGTTGGATACGACCCTCCCCTTTCCACCCTCCACATGTATATTCCCATAGATTCACTGACCCATCTTTAGATTATGATACGAAATGAAACATGATATCCTAATTTGTTTGATAACAGTAACAACGGGCTTATTCTGACACACACGTGGCCAATGTATTAGATATGGCAAAATTACAAGAAAGGCGTAACCTGAGAACTACAACCAGGGTTACCTCAAAGAAACTCCGCACGCAAAAAGTGAAAGAAAAAAACTCTTGGTTTAAGTTTCCATGATGATCCATGTTTTCCTTTCTTGCAATGACGACGTGGCAAACTTAGATGGAAATTTGTCTCCAATTACCCTATTGTTCCTGGCACGAAAAACTTTCAAGAGTTTTCTTGCCCCTTAATACCCAAAACGCCTTTTATTCCTTGAAAATCAATGGAATGTTTGGAATTTATATAACGAGTGACAAATCAAGTTAGACAAGATATAAAAAAATCCCAGCGTATTTGCCATGGCCGATTTCATTACGCCTAATGGAACAAGGTTACATAGGGAAAAAACACCAAAGATAATGCTTTGTTCGGGGAGTTCAGAAAGGCGTCCATACAATAACATAGCCTTCAGTCCCTTATGTTCCCTGTGGGTGAGAACATCCTCTGTGGCCTTACTAAAG